AGAATAGAAACTGTTATTATTAATGAGAGTGTTGGAATTTCCTCCGGCCAAAATAGCTTATCATCAATAGTAAGAGCATAAGCAGCCAAGGTATGGCTGCCCTATTATCTTCCTTATACACGTGACAACTTATCTCTAGAAAAAACAAATTGGAGGTTTAAATCAACGTAGACCAAGCATCCTTGAAGATGATGTAACCATCACAAACCTGAGGATAAGAATAATTTTGAACGAGTACCAAGAAGAAAATGATATGCTTAAAAGCTTCATGGTGGATACCTGGGTATATGGTCCTAATTCTTATAGAGATAGAGGAGACTTTTGGGATGAATTGGCTTGAATTGTATTTGTGAACTGAATTGGTGTGTGGGAGGGGACTTCAATACAGGTTTAGTCAAGAAAAATTTCCAAGCGGAAGGGATACCAGAAGTATGAGGGCATTTGATAAACTCATTAGGGAGGCAGATTTAAGGGATTTAGTGTTGTCCAACTCTAAGTTCTCATGGACAAATTTTAGAGAAGATGTGACCAAGAGCAATTGATAGGTTTCTAGTTACAAATGGGTGGGAGAACTTGTTGAATGAAGTTAGACAAGTGGTGGGAGTGAGAGCATGTTCAGATCATTTCCCCTTGATCTTAGATAGCCATCTAGTAAAATGGGAACCAACACTTTTTCGGTTTGAAAATATGTGGTTGGACCATCCAAGTTTCCAGAAGGAATGTGAAATTTGGTGGGGGAACATGAATCCAGTTGGTTGGGAAGGCTACAAAATTATGGAGAAATTGAAAGGTTTGAAGGACAAATTAAAGACTTGGAATAAGGAATCTTTCGGGGATACAAATTTAGCAAGAAGTGAGCTTTTGGGGAGAATTGAGAGATTGGACAGCAAAGAGGAGGAGAGTGGTTTGGACAATGGTGATAGGGAGGAAAGAAAAGTTTTAAGGAATAGGCTAGAAGAAATAATTTTTAAAGATATGGTGGCTTGGAAACAAAAAAAATGAAATTTAGAAGGTCAAAGGAATGGGATGCGAACACAAAATTGTTTCGCAAGCCGCTACGCAATAGGAGAAATGAGAGTGTAATTTCAAGGTTGGAAAAGGATGATGATTCAGTGTCGGAAAAGGAGGAAATTAGAAGAGATTATTTCGTTATGTGAGAAACTATTTCAAGTTGAAGAGGTTGTATCTTGGTCTTTTCAGGGAATTGATTGGAGGGCGATTATGGATGAAAAGGCTCGGTGGTTTGAGCGACATTTTGAAAGGAGGAAATTAAGCTTGCAGTTTTTAGTAATGACAGGGATGTCACAGGGACTAAGTGGATTTTCAGCAGGGTTCTTTCAAGATTGTTTGTGTGGTGAAAGGAGACTTATTGAGAGTATGAGGAATTTCATAGGAGTGGTGTGATTAATTTTGCAGTTAACCATACTTTTCTTTGTCTAATCTTGAACTGACTCAAGGAGATTAAAAGACTATAGGCTAATAAGTTTGGTGGCAAGTTTACAACATTATGGCAAAAGTCTTGGCAAATAGTTTGAGGGAAGTCCTAAGTGAAACAATTTTGTTGGCCCAAGGAGTGTTTGTGAAGGATAGACAAAATTTTAGATGTGGTGCTTATTGCAAATGAGGCAGTAGAGGATTATAGCTCTAAGAAGAAACAGGGTTTGGTGTTTAAAGTGGATTTCGAGAAGGCTTAGGTTTTTTGGACTCAATTATATTTCGCTACTTACAACTTAAAAGTGTTTCACTTGTTAGCTTCTCTTCTCTCCTCTCTCTAGAATTCCGAAGGATGAGTTCACAATCTCTTTACTGATTTTATTCATAAAATATCCAAATTAGTTAAGATGTCTCAAAAGGATTTGAATCATTTTCTCCATGAGTTTAGAATAGGTCCAGAGTTGTACAAAATCTCACTAAGTGAAGATGTTGGCTTGGTGAGAATAGAGGAGTCCAATAGGAGGTCGAGTTTCTTCATTTCCTACATGTTAGGTGCAGTGACCTGGATTTCTCAAACAATGGAGTTCTTGTGCAAGAATAATAGGACCGATGGTTTCAAAAAGAAGTTCAACGGGGCACAATTTATTTTGTTGATTGAGGTGCTTACGATCGATACATGAAGATCACAAGAATCAATGGAGGAGCCTTTAGAAGCATCATTCTACCGGGAGACAGCAAGAAAATGGGATGGAAGATATTGATGAATAAGTTGAACAGGCTAATGGGAAGAGCTAGTTTTTTCAGGGACACTACAAAGGCCAAAAAGGGTTTTGAATTGAATTACCTCGTGCTCTTTAGATCAAACTGAAGGGTGTCACCATGACTACCTTGTCACCATGACTGCCTTATGTACAATAGTAACATATACATTGCGGTTGCTGTTGCGATTAATGGCGGTCTTATAACGCCGGTTCTTCAGGATGCTGATAAGGTTTGAAATGCGTTCACCTTGTCCACTTTGTTCATGACAGATTAATTTCAACGCTTAGCAGGTAACTTGTGTTTGTTGGCACAGATGGATCTGTATCTTTTATCTCAAAAGTGGAAGGAGCTAGTTGAGAAAGCCCATTCAAATCAACTTCAGCCTCACGAGTACAATTCAGGTCTTCTTTATCAAATGTCTTCACACATTTATTGTCTATTGTTTTTCATGGTGCACTTTTATGAATAGATCAAGTTGAATCATTGCAGGATCATTTACTCTGTCCAATTTGGGCATGTTTGGAGTGGATAGATTCAACACTATACTTCCGCCAGGCCAGGTGAGTTGAGAACATCAATGCTAGGTTTTCCTTATTTCACAAATTGAGTAGTCTTCTGCTCCTTGTGACAATTAGTACTTAGCTGAAAGTTGGGTTGATGTTTAGGGTGCCATTATGGTTGTTGGAGTTTCAAAGCCGGCAGTTGTGACTGATGCAGATGGCTTCTTGAGTGTAAAGAATAAAATACTGGTACGTGCTGTTTTTACAATTAGTATAAGAGATGTCTTTATTTCATGTCAATTCAACGTTTGATTATGTGATAATTCTTGAATGGGTAGGCACTTATGCATATGATGTATAATTATTGTGTGATGGTTATGTTTTATGTGAAAGGATTGGTCGTAAATTTTTCTGGTTCCATGGAATTAGTTTTTTCTATTTTATTTTGATTACATCAATTGTAAAATAGGAATCATTAAGTAATTTATTATTCTCCTAATCGAGCGACGAAAGGAGACATGAAGATGGAGAAGACTTGAAGACGGAGAATTACAAGAAGACCCAATTTGATGTAATTTTATTTTTATTATTATTTTGGGGTTGTAATTCTTAGGTCCATGGAACCTGACCAAGTTTTTCCATTTCGCTTGCATGTCTTTATTTATTTATCTATTATGTTTGATCATAATTGTATTTTCATGCATCTAACATGTCATCTAGGATAAAAAGTGCCTACCTAGTTTATATGTATGACGTACATCATGCGCATTACTTTTTATGTATGACATACATCATGCGCATTACTTTATATGTATGACATACTCCAAGTTAGCATAGCCACATCATCACTGCCAATCATCATTGCCACCTAATAATAATAATAAATATAAATAATAAAAATAATAAAAATGATAATAATAAAACTAATAATAATAATTGTAATAAAAAAAATAATAGTAATAAAAAAAAAATAATAATCATCATAATAATAATAGTAATAATCATAATAATCATAATAATCATAATCATAATAATAATAGTAACAATAACAATAATAATAATAGTAATAATAATCATAATCATAATAATAATAGTAATAAAACAAATAATAATAATAATAACAATAAAAATAAACTAATAATAATAATAATGATTTTGGGGTTGTAATTCTTAGGTCCATGGAACCTGACCAAGTTTTTCCATTTCGCTTGCATGTCTTTATTTATTTATCTATTATGTTTGATCATAATTGTATTTTCATGCATCTAACATGTCATCTAGGATAAAAAGTGCCTACCTAGTTTATATGTATGACGTACATCATGCGCATTACTTTTTATGTATGACATACATCATGCGCATTACTTTATATGTATGACATACTCCAAGTTAGCATAGCCACATCATCACTGCCAATCATCATTGCCACCTAATAATAATAATAAATATAAATAATAAAAATAATAAAAATGATAATAATAAAACTAATAATAATAATTGTAATAAAAAAAATAATAGTAATAAAAAAAAAATAATAATCATCATAATAATAATAGTAATAATCATAATAATCATAATAATCATAATCATAATAATAATAGTAACAATAACAATAATAATAATAGTAATAATAATCATAATCATAATAATAATAGTAATAAAACAAATAATAATAATAATAACAATAAAAATAAACTAATAATAATAATATAATAATAAAATCTATTAGTCATAAAAATAATAATAATGATTATAATTTTAACAATAATAATAATGATAATATGAAAATAATAAAATCCGATCGAAGCTCTCTTCGCGCGCTACAACCGCCACGAGAACGTCAACAACTTTTGGTGTCATCACGGGGCCCATTAGCCATTAGATTGAAGCTCTCTTCGCGAATAATAATATAATAATAAAATCTATTAGTCATAAAAATAATAATAATGATTATAATTTTAACAATAATAATAATGATAATATGAAAATAATAAAATCCGATCGAAGCTCTCTTCGCGCGCTACAACCGCCACGAGAACGTCAACAACTTTTGGTGTCATCACGGGGCCCATTAGCCATTAGATTGAAGCTCTCTTCGCGATCTACAACTGCCACGGAAACGGCGACAACTTTTTATGTCGTAATGGGTCCCATAATCCGTTAGATCAAAGCTCTCTTCGCCCTCTACAACCGCCACGAATAAAGC